GTAATTTCAGAGAACTGCTGCGCATGTCAGATCTGATGAGTCACCGCTGTTTTGATTTTTTTAATGCTGGTCAAATTAATATTCCTTCAACCGTAGATAAGGTTCTAGATGGTTACGTAGTACAAACTCCTACCACGATCGACTCACTGTAAATGCAAAAGTGGCAGACTGCACGGCGTCAATAATAGAGATTAGAAAAAAAAAATCTTATCCTATGGAACGTTGGGAATCGTTTACTTGCAAGTAGTATTAGAGTCACGCGTGTCTCCAGCCAGACCTTCCAGTTATGGCATAACATCGAAGTGCATGTCACCAATGGTGTTGCGAGGGAGTCATCAGGATGATCAAATGGTGATCTGTAATGTTCAGTGATAAAATTTCAGCTTTCATGAAAGCGATGGTTGTTTGCATGTGCGACGTAGACCTAGGTGTCTCAATATCTAGTTGTCATGAATATCATAAATTACAATTGTCGCTCACCTTTGGTGTTTGTGGCTGGAACGTTGAACAGCACAATGTATGTTCAGAACATTAATTAATCTGTTATGATGCTATTTCTAATAGGCTAATGCATTTTCAAATGATGTTCATATTATGCAACTTGCAAGATATTTGATAATTTCTCTGGCCAGCACGATAGCCAAACCAGTCCAATATTGAAAAATATATACGGAATATGGGATCTTGCTATATTGTGTCAGAAGATGTAGAAGGTGTGAAATGATGCATTCCAGGATTCCATCTTTACTATTGTATACGTGCGAGAGTACAGATAGATATGTATTTAATGCCCAAATATGATACACACTATTATTATGAAGTCACAGTACTTTTTATGTAAGCGTTCGTTTGGAAACTCGATATGGGATCATTTATTACACTTCAAATATATATCCTGTATTACCTGTACGTTTATTATTACATATATTCAGGGGGTGGCTGCAATTTTATTTTCCATCAGTTAATATATCTATATATAAATAATAAATGGACTTTTTAAAATCAAACATATTATTTAAGTAGACGTGACGTCTTTTCAACAGTGTTTAATTCATCTATCGGTCTGCGCACACCAGAAAACTTAATAAAGAAAGATGTGCCCTCAGGAAGGATCGAACTGATGGGTTATTTTTGTTTTTTAAAATCATTTTTATATATTTTAGAACTATCTTAAAGGGGCCTGTGGTATGATTAAATCATTTTTATATAATTTTGAACCTAAAATACAATACTTACTTTATTCAATGGGCCTTAATACATGGCAATATTAAAATTAAAAACTCAAGGAATTAAATCAATATTACATGTAACATTATATATAATAAAATAATGGATATATAATTGTAATACATAGATTTTTTTAATGAAAAATCCATTAACTATTTCCTAACGTGAACATTGTACAATGCCTACATATTACAGTCAATTTATTACGTTGATTTAATAGATCATTATTTTTATTGTCAGAAAACTTTAAAAAAACAAAAATTAACCTAGTGTTAGAGATATACATATCTCTCAGATTATTTTTCGTAACTTAAATGTGTATTCTTAACCGGAAGTATGAGGTCGTGTCTTAATATGACAGTTCCCCGAGATATGTATGAATACTCACCCCAACATCTAATCTATATTTTTAACTTTTTTTCCTTTAGCTTTGACCTATCTTTTGATTAGTCAAAAGAGACCTACCCATTTTAAAATCTGATTCCCCCCCTCCTACTTAACTCTTTAATGAACGAAAGTATTATTTTGTTTCATCAAAAGTTAACGAATCATCATCATGATATAAAAAAACAAAACCATATACGGTATAAACCGTATTAAAAAAAAAAAAAAAAAAATTTCCGTGCCCCAAATTAAAATATCTTTAATAAAAATATCATTAAAAATATTATGGTTTACGTTGTATTGAGCACATTTTTTATTTAAAAAAAAAGTAAATGCTAAAGGACTGTAGATTCTAAATCTGTTTTGTTCTTTCTCTTCATTTGTGTATATATATATATATATATATATATATATATATATATATATATATATATATAGAGAGAGAGAGAGAGAGAGAGAAAAGAGAGTGTGTGTGTGTGTGTGTATGTGTGTTATGAGTCATAATACCTTTGAAATTTCTGCTGGACACCTGATCAATTAAAAGATCAAGTTATACTATCTCCAGTTTTACAATTAAGTACAAATATAAAAAGGTGAAACGGAAATGAATAATATTTATATATACTTATATAAGAAAATGTTAGCATTTGTGTATAAGAGGAGACCGAAGGGGGGGGGGAGAGAAAGAAATTCAGACAGAGAGAGAGAGAATATATAAGGGAAGTAAGAAAGATATTATTTTGGCAGCCAATCGGTATCTTTGTGCCAAACTCTTTCGTCTCTTAGAAATAAAGACGCTTATATATCCGTTCGCCTTCGAGCCCGGTTGCGATCCAGTGTTGGTTTACAAGATAGTTTTGATTTAGTTACAAAATATCTTATGTGTTTAGATATAGTCTAGAATCAAAGTATGGATCGATAAGTTTCAATATGTCTGGGATTCTAACCAAGTTCTCTATTGGTTCCACTTTTTCTGAGATTTGTTTTCTAAAGCAGAAATATTCAGCAGATGTATGCTTTGAAAACCAAGAAAACATTTTATAATTTATTAATCCGCGATTCGTCTTTCTGTTTACAGAACAAATTTGCTTTTCTAGAATTCAAGACATTGTGGAGGCAACAAATAAACATTAACCGGAATTAGCTCAGGAATTTCGGGTAGAACTGAAGATGTAGATATTAAAAACGCATATCTTGTAATGCAGATATAAAAAATTAAGAAAGTAGGTTTACGTGTTCGAATATCGAGAAAGACAGCGATTTCTCCAAAATCCTGTAAAGAAGGCGTCGGCAACCTTTTGGAGAAAGAGAGTCAGACAGCTATGCAGTGTCTCGGGCGAAGGCTATACTACTAATAAATAAAAATGTACTATAATAAATTGTCTCGAGTTCAAACCAATCTATCTAGAAAGCTGTCCTCGTCTGGAGGTTTCAAGAAAAAAAAAACAAAGTAAATGTTATATTATTTAAACAAAGTTCCTTATTTTAATGCCGTTTAATATTCGAAACTTTCTTCACGGCAATGCTTTCTTGACGAATTAACCAAACATATCTTCCGAGTGGCCAGCCTTCTTTAAAATTTCGGCACTCAAAATCCACTTTTCTTTTGTTCAGACAAAAAAGATTTCGGGAAAGGAAAGAAAAAAAGAGTAATCAGAAGGGAGAAATAAGAAAGAATAAGAACATATGTAAATACATATAAAGTAATATGATAAAATAATATGATAATTGTGAATAAATTGTGATCAAATCCCGATATATAATGATGTCGTTAGATCAGGTTTGTCATTTGTTTTTTTTTAAAACCAATTTTGTCCAAATTGTAATAATAGTTAACACTATTTCTCATAAGAAATGAAATAAACATTAATTATTATCGAATGCAGCTACCTAAAGTTGTTTTAGCACCAGACTCCAATGGAAAAAAGTGAGGAGGAAACAAAGCAAGTTTTCCAAGGATCGCTTAAACTTTAAGTGAACAACTGTATCTATACTCGATACTAATTAGATAATTAGTGTCCAGATGTTAAGTAGGTGGGCGGGAGAAAAATCCTTCGGAGGCCGGATGTGCTCCGCGGCCCGCGGGTTGCCGACCTCTGCTCTAAAAGCAAGAGAAGCATGTGGCAAAAAGCGATAGCCTACTTAACGAATTTGGTCAAATGGATGGCAAAACAAATACACAAGGATGGTAAAGGGTCAAAAGTTACTTCGAGGAATAAAAGACAGGAAGCTGTAGAGAGCCATGATCGCTAACATCCTGAAAGGACACGGCACATATAGAAAGATTAAAAATGAATGTTTTCCAGTTTGATTACTCTAACAGCTATTCCAAACCTATACAGTTACTTTGAAAATTTTCATAGGTCAATGTTGACAATGGATATAACAACTTCTTAGTTATTCCTGCTTGGGTTCTTTACACTATTTATGTTGTTCGGACAGTTGTTTCCATCTTTGTTGCCATATTCACGACGTTTCAGCCATTGTACGCTCCGGCCTTTTTCAGGTGTTTGGAATTTCGAACAGAACACTTTATTTCGTACACCGGGGTATATTGTTCTAGAACCACGTGCCATGCCTCTTCCGGATGTCTCAGTTATTTCCCTTTAACTCAACCTTTCAAGTTTTTGTTGGCCTCTGCTATAGCCAAATACTGAACTCACAACTATTTAGGTCAAGTCGCTGTGTTACTTCAACCAACGCTTTTGCCCACTGGGTCATGTGTCCCAGGGAGCGAAATAAAGTGTTCAATTTGAAATTCCAATCACTTGAAGAAATCCGGAGCGTACAACGGCCGAAACATCGTGAAGATGGCAACAAAGATGAGGACAACAGTTCGAACAATGTAAATAGTGTAAATAATTAAAATACTTTATCTCAGAAATATAGACAGGTCCTGCTTGGGTGTTAAGTTATGTGGGACTAGGTTGGCTTAAGATCTCATTCTCTTCTATGCCAATAGTTGTAGCATGACAGTAACGAGACATTTTTTTTTATCAAGATACGGATTTATACTTTTCTTAAGTGTATTAGTGATAATAAACATCTTCAGCCAAAATTCGAACCCTTTTAGCAAATTCTTCATTTTCCGAACATAACAATGATGCCCACTGCGCAACACAAAATTATTATAAAAATAAATCGTGAATATGGCAGCAAAGCCCTTTTATTACTAAGGAAGAAAAACTTACTTTAATGTATTATAATAAAAAAAGGCAAAAATCGAAACAAAGAGATTCAAGGAAGAATGGGATAGAACTAAGAATTAATAAACTCAAAAATTAATTCGGTTAATAAAATGTAATTTTTCCCGTGTAATAAAAAATATATATTTAAATTGGCATAAATATTTTCACTTATTTTCCTGCTTTGTTAAAACAGGATTCGGCTTACGGCCACATCCCGAGGAAACACCGGTTCTCGTATGATCACCGAAGTTAAGCAACATCGAGTCTGGTCACTCCCTAGATGGGTGATCGCTTAGGAATATCAGCTGTAAGTTTGGATGTGTGAGTGCTATAATGGTTCGAAATTGTTAATCGGAGAGCCGAGTTCGAATTCCAGTTGAGTTCCTTAGATTCACTTACACGCAAATACTCTTGGGGAAGGTATGAATTCACGTCTTCTCTTTTTAGCTATGGTTTAATTAGTTAAGACCTGTATTACTAGCACCATTATAATTTCCAATAAAAAAAAAAAAATTAAAATTGAGTACAAAATATTTCAATTTCGGCTTTAAATAACCTATAGATGTTGAAATGACGCTAAACAAAAAATCCATTTGGTATTATGGTGATTTTCTAAGCGCAGATTGGATGTGACACAAGGGCGAAAGTATGGGGCTCCCAGTGAGGATCGTACTCACTTTTCAGTCGCAAAATTGATCTCGCGAGAGAAGCTTGCTAACCATGTCAAAATATTTCAATTTGGTGTTGTGATTTGACAATATTTTTAAAGCGAGTCGGAAAAAGAATTTTGTACTGAAATTTTGTCGCTGACGATAGATATGAAACAGAATTTTTCAAAATTATTTGGGCTTTTTGCCGTAACATCCCACACATATTTCACTCGGCATTTTTCTCTATATAACCTTATCGATCTATCTTTATTCAGATTTATTGATGAGTTTCAATGAGAAAATAGGTCTGTTTATCAGCCCTCGAAATGGCAAACCGCCCGCTTTATATATGATTCCTTTGCAAAAAGAACAGCATTCTTTTCTGACATAAAAGGTCAGCCAGGGAAACGATACAGTTTCATAAATTATTTTGAAAATGATAATAGTTTTATTCTTCCAACACATTGCAATATATTAATTACTAATTATCAAAAGTTGAAAAATTAACCAACTTTTAACTCAAGTTGGAATACAGTCTTCAAATGCGTTTTTCTAAAAATTTGAATAATTATTATTTGTTTTCAGATAGGACAGTGATTCCGAGTGAAATTTTGGTTGATATTTAATATAAATAAAAATAAAAATGATTGACTGATTGCAGTAGATTTATCTTATTCTTGTGCATCAACGCGAAAGCATATTTCCTGACGATGGCAAACAAGTAAATCGAAAGGTCACAATTCCGAATTCTCCTTTTTTATTTTTAATCAATTCACCCAAGCAAAGCGATAACGCCACTAAGAAGCAAAGGTGGGGGTGGGGGGCTACTGGGAGTGAAAGAGAATGTTAAGACTTTAGAAGAGACCAGGACTCTAATCCTAAACAGGGAACAAAAGATAAACTTCTATTTCTGTTCAAAATGTCGGGAGTAGTGGGAACCGGACGATAGACGAATCTATCTATTTCTTTTGATGAAAAAAATTCAGAGTTTAGGCACAGACATTAAGAGTATAGGATTGACGTAGACAAGGAAAACCCATCCTAAACAGGAAACAAGAGAGAAACCTCTATTCTTGTTCAAAAGATTAAGGAGGAGTGAGAACCGAGCGATAAGTGAATCTATCAACTCCTATTAATTATCAACAAATATTGATACCGTTTCTTTTGTTATGATTTTATAGGTATTGATAAGGATCAATTGTACAAATGGTCACATGCTGAAAATAATTTTAAGAAAGGCATGAACTGCAAAGACTCCATCATTACAATCATTTTCTAACAGAAAAAATGGTTAGAGTCTGACTATAGAGTAAGACTGATACTGGCCAAGATGGACAGGAATAAAGCAACAGCACTAGATGGGAATATAAAAGAGATGCTATGAACCTTAGATGAGCTCAAGATCAATGGAATAAATAAAATATACGACAGTAGTTACATACTGGAAAATCATATTAGATCCATTTTCATAGCTTAAGAAGCCAGGTTTAAATGAATACAAGCTTCATCGGACTATCGATTTAATGAGCCACATAACTAAGATTATCATTTGGATTCTGATGGATAGAACATCCATCCGAATCCAGAATTAGATCAAAACAATAACAGTTTGGTTTCGTTAAAGACACTGGAACAAGAAATGCAATTTTTATAATTAGAATCCTATTAGAAAGAACAATACAAATACAGAAGGATGTGCATATATATTTTATTGACTACATAAATGCTTTTGACGATAAAACACAAAGATCTATTTTAGGAAAAACTTGATTTATTCGGAAAATATATCAAAATAATCTAAAACATTTACTGGGAACAAGCAAACTGCACAAGAACAAAATATGCATTGAGCAAGTACCCCAAAATAAATGTGGACGTAAGACAAGGGTGCATCGTATTACTGGATGTATTTAAACTATACAGCGTGGTGGGTATAGCCTCAAAAACATAAGATATGCAAATGACACCGTATTGTTGGTAGTCACTAAAAGAAAACTGTAGGTGCCTTTAGACAAAGTAGTATAGGAAAGTGAGAACAATGGACTAGCTATCAATTACATCCTTGTGCAAATTAATTGAAACGAAACGAGTAATTCCGTTACTATTTACTTTTTTCGTATTTTTCCAATGAAACATGACCCAGTGCACGTGTTAGTACTTCGCATTTTCATTCCACGAAGTCATTCCTTGCACATTGACCACAGATTATCGATTGGATTTAAATCAGGAGAGTTTCCAGGCCAGTCTATAGTACTTTGATTTGCTCACTGGTAAGGCTTGCCAGTGTGTTCGCGCAGCATTACAATTTTCGCTGACAATGGCCGTAGAACAACTAATCAACAGTCGAGACAATAGTGTCTGGGCGTGATAAAAATCTGATGCCATCACGGATGATGCAGTGTTTTTCAAGGACAAAGAAATTTCAGCATATACCTCGAAAATAGATTCATATTACTGCACACTATTGCAAATGACCTAATGTGAGGAAAAAATAGAAATTGATTACACCCTGTCACTCCAGTGGGTCTAAAACTGACCGTATGATGAAAGAAAGCGGACTAAAGCGGTTGTTTCAATTAATTTGCATAAGGGTGTATAAGAAGATATTAACAATAAGGACAGTGAATTATATGAGCTACAAATTAGAGACTTCGAAAAAATTATATAAGTTTCTGAATTGTGAAATTTGTGAAGTGTCAAAACCCTTAAGATACGTTTGAACACCAAAAGATGCTTCAGAAACTAAGAAAAATATTAAGAAACAGGAAAATTAAAAACAAAGATATTCCGGTTCAACTGTTGTGTAACATCAGTCTTTCCAATATGGCACTGAATGCTGATAGTTTTCCCCTCACAGATGAAGAGGAAACTTGAGGCAACGAGTATGTTGCTTTACAGAAGAATACTGAGAATAACATGGATAGAACATGTGAACAATAAGGAATTTTTTAAAGGAAAATGAGAACGAAAAGGAAATTTTTCTTAGAAAGATAAAGTTGAAATGGAGGGCTTGGCGAATTTAACACTCACAGGTCATATTAAAGGCAAAAGGAGCAAAGAGGACCAGTGAGTAACATACTTTGTGCAAATGGATGTCATAACCTGAACAAGGAGGAATAGTAAGTGGGCAAACATTAATTAGTGCTAGGAAGATGTGGAGAGCCATGATAGCCCACATCGAGTAATTTTCGGTATTAGGACAAATGGTGAAATAATATTTACTCTTTAGGAGATTATCTTGTGGCTGATATTGCGATGTATTGGCCAGTCACGCCATTGGTCAGTGATCTAGCCTAGGTAAAAGATTTTAAATTCCGATTTTCAAGGTAGGCAAACTGTTGCCACTTCGAAGATTGGCAAAGTACACTCTTCCTACTCCCATTAAGAGTGTTGTCGGGACCGGAGAAGAAGTCTCTTATATCCGGGTTTCTCTTATATCCGGGTTTCTCTTATATCCGGGTTTCTCTTATATCCGGATTTGGTCTATTTTATATACATTAACACAGGCTCTAATTTGGGACCAGAGAAAATCTCTCTTATATCCGGGTTTCTCTTATATCCGGGTTTGGTCTATTTTACATACATTAACACAGGCTCTAATTTGGGACCAGAGAAAATCTCTCTTATATCCGGGTTTCTCTTATATCCGGGTTTGGTCTATTTTATATACATTAACACAGGCTCTAATTTGGGACCAGAGAAAATCTCTCTTATATCCGGGTTTCTCTTATACCCGGGTCACACTGTATAATGCTAAGCCAAATGTTAAGATTGATTCTTTAGCAGTAGTAGCAGTAAAAGGTGGAGGAATAGTAGGAGGGTAACATCCGACATTGGTTCGGTATGAGGTTTTTCCTTCTTGTCACGGAAAACAACAACTACTATAGACTCGAATCAAAGATCGAATTACAAATTTGTCGATCTGTGATCAACTGTTTTACTCAGTGTTGCTTGTCCTGACCTAAAATTAGAGCATTCTCTCTGGTGGCAAATTTGTAGTTAGGATTCTGAATCGTCCAACACAAGGGCACACACTTTACTTTTTCTTCCTTTACCTTTTTCAGTCTTACCCATTTCGGTGTTTGGGAAATAAAATACATTGAGGCAGTGGCGCTGCTGGAATCAATGACTGTTATTCCAACAGAGATTGGTGGAATTTATGTGTATTAGCTGTGATCTGGAAGCGACAAATCGGCCCGACACATAACGTGGAAAAATAACCGATAAATCGATTTGTCTGCCAATAGAAGTGAAAGAGTCCGCTCAGCACCTTTCAGATGTGGGATATTATGAAGTAGTTTGAAGTAAAACTGACAGCTAATTTCGATCGATTATAAAGCATAAAACTGACTTGGCTCAGGAGAGGAAAACGGGATGACCAGTAACGAAAGAAAAAAAAAACAGGACTAATAACACTAGAGAAAGAGAGCTAAAAACAAGACAGATTAATAGAAGCTAAAGGTAGAGATGGGATAAGATAAAGTGACTGAGATAGGTAGATAGATAGACAGATAGATAGATAGAGAGTGAGAGAGAGGGAGAGAGGGAGGGAGAGGGAGAGAGAAGGAGGGAGGAAGAGAGAGGGAAACACGGAGAAAGAGAAAGATCATGGAGAGAAAGAATGTAGGAACAGTAGAAGAGAGAGAAAAGTAACAAGAGTGACAGAAGTCGGAGATGAAGCAGTGAAAAAAAGACGAAAAAGAAGACAGTTTAGAAAGTGAAAGACGATGGGAGCAGACAGGAAGGAAGGCGCAAAAAAGAAGAGAGATAGATAAAGAGAGAAAATATTAAAGTACGGGGAAGAATGAGGACTAAAAAGCGAAGACTAGAACGAAAGACCACAACAAGGTATAACATATAAGAATTAGGAGAGTAGGAAAATGAAAGAAAGAAAATGAACGAAAGAAAGAAAGAAAGAAAAAAAGAAAGAAAGAAAGAAAGAAAGAAAGAAAGAAAGAAAGAAAGAAAGAAAGAAAGAGGATATAATAAAAGAAACAAAAACTGTTTTGCGTCCTTTCTTATGGATTTAGATTTGTTTATTTTCTCTTTGTAAATAATTTGAAAAATTGATTCGCTGTTTTTCCTGTTTCCCGCCATTCGTTCCGCACACCCACCAATTCTGGATTTTTTTTCATTGGAAAGACAATTGCTTTGTCCAAATCTTGACCATTAAACACGAATGAATGTTGGCGTTTCTATTTTTATGTTTCTAGGCCTATTAGGACGTAGGCGATCATGGCACTTGATTCTTCATATCCCTGTTCTGCCATCAATTCATCCCAACTTATTAAGTAGGCTATTCACCCCCCCCACTGTTTCATTATGTGCAAATGTCCCAGAAATTTCACCTATTTCTTTAGTGCGCATAGGTTTTGTTGTTTCTGTATTTGTGCAGCTAGTGTAATGATTAGCGGTTCGGAACGGGAATTCGGGGGAATCGTGTTCGAATTCCAGTCCGTATCGATTTATTTCCCTTTTGTGAAATGTATGACTCAATCGCATCCTATGCTAACTGTAATCTGTAATCCGCTATTTAGCTCCTTGATAAAATCCAAAGAAGAATCAGCAATATTAACGGTCCTGATCTGGCGGCTCGATTTCACTCACTTCCTAACCGCCGTAAGGTTGCCTCTCTGTGTCTTTTCTATAGACACTTTCATGGTAATTGTTCAGATGAGCTCTTCGCTATGGTATCTAGACATTTTGAATTTGACGTCGAGTTCTCATCAATTTAGAGTTGAGCTGTCTAACTATAACCGTAAGTTCTATGATAACAGTTTCTTTTCTCACACTTCTCACTTGTTGAATTCCATTCCCTCTTCATGCTTTCCAGCTAATTTTGATCTTCAACCATTTAAATACAATGTTATCCGCTATCTACTGTCCTGACTACTCTTTCCTCTTCCCGCTCATTATCAATGTTTCTGTTCCTAATTCTTCCACACCCAGTAACCCTTTGTGTCTTAGTGGCATTGCTGTCTTGTTTGGGGTTAAGCCGATTAAAAAGAAAAATAGTCGAAACAGTTCTGAGGATGATGTTTCTATTTTCGTAAAGATTGCCTCGTTAGTCATATGATCTGTCCATGGCATTCTTAGTATTCGTGAATAGAATCATGCCTTGCTTCTGTCGTTTCGTTTTTTTTTTTCTTCAGATGTGAGGAAATTGTCAAGAATTCACTGCCATATAAAAGATTAGATTTTAGTTTCGATCACTTCTGGAGAACTTTGGTGGATGAAAAACAATCAATTTCACTGTTCAGCTGAGAAAAGACAGATTAGGGCTTGTCTCCCAAATAAAGCTTCCAGTGTGTTGGGGACAGTCTCATATACACACAGAGAATACTTTAGAAGCGATTACTTACGAGCGAACGCGCGCATGCGTGAAAGGCAGCCAGAAAGGCGGGAGGAAAATAGCAGAGCAAAACAAAAAATAAATGAAAAGAAAGAAAAATAAGGAACGCAGGAGGGGCAACGAATTTTTTATCTGAAGTAAAAATCCATAATACCCAAATCCTTCAAGAATTTAATCTCACTAGAAGCAGATGGAGGTCAATTTGCAGAGAAAAAGATAAGAAAGTAAGAAATCTTATTTAGTATATATTTACGACAAGATAAACTTAGAAAAGTCATATCTTGGCAAATTCTCTCTAACGCTCGTTTTAGTAACTGTAAAACAATACATTACTATAGAAAAGGTGTTATATATGATATGAATAATGACTTAACGTTGTCTGGAACAAGGCAAAATCAAGCACACAGTGAGGGTAGAACTTATTGCAGTACTAATGGTGGAGTAATAGATAGGGGCTTGGATCCATTACATTCACTTACAGGCTAATACCATTGGGAAAGGTATGAACCATCTTCTCTCCCAAGTTATGGGTAACTAGCAGGACAAATCGGGTTCTATAGCCTCGGACGGCAACTGATCTACTGTAGAAAGAAATGGCAACCTACTGCGGGAAAATATGCCTCGTCAGTCATGTATCGAAAAACACATGATCGCTTAAGCGTGTACCACGCATGGCACATAACTGACTGAATGGTAATGAATTTTTATTTATTAATCCGACAGATTTTTATCACTTTAAAAATTATTTTTAGAGGATACCCATATTTCAGTAGACGCTCTGTATTTTATTTCGTCTGCCGGCCTGTATATTATGGCGCATATTTTTTAAAGATTTCTGACAATTTTCAGACGAACAGAAAAAAATAAATATACTCTTTAAAATAAATGGAGCGTTTACTCAAATATGGGTATACACTAAAAATAACTTTTAAAGTGATAAAAATAGTCAAAGAATTGTTAGAATTGCTAGAACCGGTAGGGAAGCTTGATTTATTTGAGAAATATATTAGAATAATCCAGAACTTACACTGCAAGTCGTCTGCATGAGGATTGAAAATGAATTCAATAAATATACAAAAATAGAAAGACGTGTAAGACAAGGATGTGTCTTCTCACCGGACTTATTCAACCAATACAGTGAATTGATTCTGAGAGAATTAGAAGTGCTACCAGGATTCATTATTGGCGGCCATAATCTTAACAATATTAGATATGCAGATGGCACAGTGTTGATAGAAGACACAGAGAAGAAACCAGAAGTATTAGCGAATGAAAGGTCTAAACATCAGCTACAAGAAAACAGAATATATTGTTGTCAGCAAAAGGAACAGCCAAACATGTGAATTACAAATTAGAGATACCAAAGTTAAACAAGCGTAAAAGTTTAAATATCTGGAAAGTGTTCTAATAGACGATAGAAAAGGCACCACCGAAATCCGAAGACGAATTTGCATAACGAAAGATGCCTTCCAAAAGTTAAGCAGAATATTAAGAAACAGGAAAATTTTATTGGAAACAAAGAAAAGAGTACTGAACTCTTATACAATATCCGGTACGCCTATATAACAGTAAATACTGCAGCATCTCATCATAAATGTAGAAGAGACTTGAAGCAACAGAAATGTGGTTCCACAGAAGGATGCTGAGAATGTCATGGAATACGGAACACGTTAGCAACGACGAAGCTTTAGAGAAAATGGAAATCAAAAAGTGACTTATACTTAACATCAGAAAGAGAGGGTTGAAATGTCAAGGTGACATAATGAAGAAAAAAGGTTTGCAAAGTTTGACACTCACATGACATATTGAAGGCGAGAGGAAAAACAGCGCATAACCCCTGCTTAATGAGCATGTAAAATGCTTGGCAGAAAATGGTTTAGGAGAGATAGCAAAGAGACAAACTTTACTAAGATCTACAAAAGACAAGAAATTGTGGAGGGCCATGATCGCCAACATCCTGAAACACGGCCCATAGAAGAATAATAGGACTAACTTGTCAATTAATTGTAGCGCCGAAAGATATCTACTACGTTTAAGAATGCAACTTCAGCTATGGGTTAAATAGCAGGGTGCACTGGCTGTTTAGCCTTGTTTGGTAACCAGTCCTAAGAGAAGTAAAACTCAAACCGTGCAAAAAGCTAAATTTTCTAAGAACTTCACAGGTAATAAAGAAATCTGTGGACTCATGATTGTCTATTTTCCCGGGGGGACATGGCATTACAAAAAAAAAAAGAAAAAAAAAGAGGGGCAATATTTGTGGGTCACTCATTCTCTTACAGTAGTAATGTATATGAGTTGTGGAGAGCCATGATCACACACGCCCTGAAGAGACAAGAAGTGACGAGTATGAAATAAACTTGTTAACCAGTATCACATGCCAAGGCTCTCATAATATATGTAATATAGATGTTTGTATCTGTTTTTCTTTATTATCAGACAGATGTTTTGGTTCCAGGTAAATTCAATTGGAAGAGCAAGCAAATGGCAATTTTGAGCATTTTCTTTTACACTTCAAAAACTTCCAGATGTATTGCTATGATTACTTATTTTTGGTTGATGGGATTTTAACTGGTACAATCGATATATTTAAGCTATGTGGTTGTGGTTCAATTTCGGAAGCCGGCAACTCTTAATAGCCAATCGTCCATCTATAAAATCTGAGGGAAGCGTTAAACATTATGTAAATATTTACTTCTGTTTATATAAGTAATTGCTTTCATACAAACTAATATTCTTTAAATCTAATTGGAAGATAAATTATTTTGAATGAATGGCTCATTAATTTACTTTCAAGGCATCAGCTTCACTTTATAATTTTGTAATTTATTTTGGATCTTAGTAGTTGCGACTGAAGTTACTCATTACGGAACATTTATTACAGATCCACGTCTGTATTTATTCGTTAAAAATAATGTTCTTTCAATTTCTCTGCAGTATCTTGCTTGATTGTTGGTTACAGTGAAATGTATTATAGTGAAATGTATTACAGTGAAATGTATGTCCTTACCAAATTGGCAAACAAAAAATACGAATCTTTTTTGCCAAATGCCACGGAAATCAGAAACTCAAGAAAGAAAGAAAGAAATTGAAACGGTTGCAAACAAATCTGCAGGACGTTATAAGAAACAGAATTCGTAAAACTAATGATAACTGAAGCCAATTTTTATCATTTTAGGGAGGAAATAAAAACAGAAAAAATGTAGGTTTATAAATCGAGAAAGCAAGTAATATAACTTAAGATAAATGAACGGAAAGCTA